AAGTGACACACCTGTTGTCCCAGCTACACGGGAAATAGTTGCTGAACACAGTATGATTTTCAGGTTGCCCACACTCTTCCTCAGTCTCTGTCCCGCCCACCCTTGCCACTAGGTTAGAAACTGCTTACTCTTCATTGGGGTGCAGCTTTGGTACCCCACTTCTGTGAAGGCTTCTCTCTGCATGTTCCCATGGTTACTGTCAGCCGCACCTTAACTCTCTCCTCCCATAGGATCTGTCTCTACTTATGACAGAGTTCATTGTTGGTCTTATTTATTATAAGTTGATTTATTTTCCAAAAGTGTAAATTAAGTGAGTTACAGTTCTATCCATGAGCTTTGCACCAAAATAGGCAAATAATAAAATAAATATAAATTTTAAGTTGGTTTTGGATTTCACAATAGACAAAATAAAGTATTCCTGATGCTTTAATTCATATGGGAAGTGTTTAATTATTTTGATTAGATATATTCCAGCCCCTAAATATGGAAATGTAAGTATGTTATGAAGATAAGTGAGTACAGCAGTCATATATAATGCTATAATCATATTGTGTTGAACAACATAATATGAACATTTATATCAGTGTAATAGGATCATAAGAATATTATTTATAAATGACATTAAATGAAAAAATATACTTATAAACATGTTAATAGTTAAAGTTTTTCTATTTGTATTAGAAGGTCTTTATTATATGCTTTTTTTGGTGACACAGGCTCTCATGAATTTTAGACTCGCTTCAAACTCACTATATAGTTGAAAATGACCTTGAACTTTGTATGTGTGTCTGTATTGTGTAGTTTTACATTTGTGTGTGTGTGTGTGTGCGCGCACGTGCACACACACACAAGGCATAGAGCCTATGTGGTGGTCAGAGGACAACTTGGGAGTCAGTTTGGGTCTCCTGCATGTGTGTCCTGGAATTGAACACAGGGCATCAGGTTTGTGCTTCTGCCTGCTGAACCATCTCACCAGCCCTGCTGGGTGTTCTGTGTTGTTGCTTGTTTGCTGGGAGTCAGGGTCTTCAGTAGCCCAGGAGCTGGCCTTGTACGTGCTAACCTTGAAACCTTGAAACTTCTGTTCCTCCTGTCTCTACTCCCCGAGTCTGTGTCACTGCCCAGTTTATGCAGTGCCCAGGAGCCAAGCCATGGCTTCCTGTGTGTCAGGGGAACACACTGCCCTCTGAGCTGCGGCTCTACATCTGTCATGTGACTGCTGCGCTCGCCTGTTTTCATGAATGCTAATCCTTAGAGAGGCTTTCGGCTTGTTAAGAGCTTCTTCTTGGTAGTTATTTAAAGACTTTGGAAATATAATAAATTATGAGCTAACATGAATTATTGAGCTTTCAACTTAAGATCTGGGGGAAGACAGCTTTAGCGTTTTTTCTTATTTGAGGTTTTTATTTAAGTGATTGTCAAAACAGAAAATAAGAGTTGAAGAATACTCACTCCTCTCTTGGGTACATTGTTATTTTAGCTGTTAGATGTTTCTTTTCTCTACTGCAGACTCAGTCCTCCTGTTCTTCCGCTGTGCTCCTTAAAGGAAATGCAACTGTCTGTGGACAAATTCTTTAGACTGGAACCATCCGATGTTACCAATGGTTGCTTTCTTTCTATTTTAACAAGAGAGGTAAGGGAGAAAAATCCTAATGCATGACATCCTTTGAAATCGAAAACAACAAACTCTCTTCACTGGCACCCACTTCATGACTATTTTGCCATGGTTGCTGGTATTTATACAAATATAAATATAGGGTCTTGTGTAGCCCAAGAGCTAGCTATGCCCTTGAACTTTTGTTTGTCTGGCCTCCACTCCCCAGTTTATACAGCGCCCCAGGCACGGGATTATCACTACACAGCCCACAATCCCCACTCTCCGCGCTTCTGCTCAGTCTTCCTCTTTGGCTTGCCCTCCACCCCACCTCTTCCAGCAGTTTGCCAACTGCCTAGTGCATCTTTCTTAGTGTATAAGAAATAAGCAGGGTAATTCTTACGAGGTTTGAAAATGAGGAAGTTGAACTAAGAAAAAAGTTATTTCTGGAGTGGGGGGACGGGGAGAGGAGTGTGGGGGGGAGGAGTGGGAGGCTGGGAGGAGGCGGAAATTGTTTTTTTCTCAATAAAACAAAAAGGAAGTTAAAAAAAAATAAAAAAATTAAAAAAAAGTTATTTCTGGGGTTTATGAGTTATGTTAGGGAATAAGGCCTAAATAACATTTACTTTAGTATGTTTTAATTTTCAGTAAATCGCTGACAAATATTTAAAATCTGTGCACTGATGCCCCCCCCCCCCCCCGCCATCTTAACAATTGCTGTTTTCATTGCAGCGAGACCCATCTGAGACAGTGTCTGTGAAGGATGTTCTGGCCCGAGCTGCTGCCAAAGGTCTACTGGATGGGGTTGAGCTTGGGAAGACATCCAAAAGGGAGAAGAAGAGAAAGAAATCCAAAACATCATTGTCCAAAGCTCCTACTAATGACAACAATGGCATCCAAATGAAAATCACAGAGTTCATAAGTCAAGAAAGTAAAGCGAGTACTTCCCGAGGCGAGGCATTAACTAAAACACCTCTCCCGTCAAAAACTGGCTCCCAAGGGGGCGCTTCCTCCCAGGTCAGAAAACCCAAGCCTGGCACCAATTCTTTACTGACTACTTATTCTTCCAGGCCAGAAGACCGGCAGGTGATCTTGAGACGAAGGCCAGAAGGCAGAGTGATTCCTCTGAAGGCCGTTGAGATTGTTTTGCCTCCAGTGATGTTCCCATTGTCGAGTTCCCAGGGACCCCGAGCTCAGATGCCAGCAAACCGCGTCTACTATCGCTTGGTTGGATCAAAGGTTGGCACGCACAGCTATGTTACACCATCAGCAACCAGAAGAGTGGAGAAGGCTAAGGAGAGCACACCTTCCTCCTGTGTCAGGCATCCTAGACCATGGCTTTGACTGTGAGGCCCTTCCTACAGGCTGGCTGGGATTTCTTTCCATTCAGACACTATTACTGGGGCTTCTAGTCACTTAGTATCTTCCCCTGCGACTTTACCGCCATGAATGAAGACAGAGAGCAGTGATGGAGGGAGCAAGCGAAGGTGTCATGTCACCAGCTCAGTGCTATTGTGTTTTAGGATGCCCAGCTGCAGATTCCTGGGAGGGAGTGTGGACTAAGCAGCTGGCTTCCCTGAAGTGGGCAGAGTGCCTCCCAGCAGGCTTCTCTGCAGACTTCATTGAGGGGCTTGGTAGAAATTCCTCAGATACAAAGAATGGTGTCCTCTCCTGCCTGCCCCAGCTCCAGCCAGGAACCTGACCCTGATCCTTAGCCAGGAAGTTACTGTACTTGAAACCTCTGGGATCCCAGTTGAGGCCAGCTTTTCCCTTTAGCACCTCACTGTTCCCCAAACAGGGCATGCCAGAAGGTTCTGCAATGGACTGAGCTTTGACTAGGAGTAGGGAGCCCAGTACCAGGTGTGCGCAGTCCGGATGGCCATACAGAAAACAATGTTTCTGGAGAATTTCCAGAATCCCGAGTAGACTGCACACAATAATCCCTTCCTTCTGTTTATGCCAAACATTGTTGGAACAAGGACAGCGAGCAAATTTCTACCTAAGTATTCTTGTTCTGAGAAAGAGGTCAAACTGTTGAACACAAGCAATGTATCATTGGAAAAACGCAAAGATTTCTGATTCTATGCAAAGATCAGGTGACACAGCCAAATGTACAAGTCATTTTGATGGCACACAGTGCTCAAACCTTGGTAACTCATTTCTGATGCACAATTACAATATATTGTAGCACTATGTTAATACATTAAATGTCAATTACTCTTAGCTATATTAACAATTGTCTACCAATATTGACATGATTATCATTTCTGGGTCTGATTTTTTTCATCATGGCAACAGAAATTGTTTGACATTAAATAAAGTTATGACTAAAAATCTTATTTTTAAAGAGCTCTGACACATTTGGAGTTTGAATGTAAGCTTTATCTTCAGAATTCAGCTGTGGAGAAGCATGAGCGAGTGCCAAAGGCTCAGGTTAGGCGGCAGCACAGCAGCAGACTGGGCCCGGTAGGCTTCAGCTCCAGAGGTCTTTGGCTCACTTGAAGTGGGGAGGACAAAGGATTGGTGGGTTCTCATAGACGTTTTCTTTCAGCCAAAGATTTATATTTCTCATTAAAATGTGTGAGTCAAGAAGATGAGCTGATGCTTCAAGAGGCTTATATTTATATTCCAAACAATTCTTGTCAGTTATGACTCTTAAAACACAGAGAACTTAGGAAACAGGCAGAGGGTTCTCTCCCAGTTTCAGCCTAGCCTGAGCTGAACGGAAAGAGGCTGTCTGGGCTGGGACTTGACCCCGTGGTGGAGCCCATGGTTAGCACGGATCAGGTGCCAGTTTCCATCCCCAGACCTACAAGCCACAACCCCACACTGCTTCCATTGCTTAGATATGCTACGGAGATAGAAAACACGTGGGTCTTTATGTTTCGAGGTGCAGCCTAATTGACCACCATTCAGAGGGGAGCTGCCCTTCCAGCCCAGCAGTGAGAGCTCAGGCTGAAAACCATTCCCCCTGGTTTGAGATCTTTATTTTCAAGCGTATTTTCTGGGTCAACCCTTTGCCTTATAGCAGCTAAGGATTCTGTTTACTCTCTAGCAGCGTGTGCTTCTGTCGCCACTGGCAGCCACTTCAGAGCCTCCTCACTTGCAGCTCAGCGCTAAACTAGCTTCCTCTCTGCACATTTGAGGAGATTCTCAATGGACTCACTCATCTACTAAGCCTGTGTGCTCTTCTCTGGCAATCTTCTTGGAAAGACAGAATCAATCAATTACTGGCAGAGTGAGAAGGAAAACAGGATAAAAGCAGCACGAGAAAACTCTAGTGAAAACTGCCCATCACAGTCTTTTAATTTGCATTTTACTTTCTTGAGTTTCTTAAAGTGTTGCAAAGTAAAAAAAATCATATAGTATTTAAATACCACAGTAACAGTTTATATTTTTTTTTTCATTTCATTTATTTACTTTGTGAAGCTGGGGATTGAGCCCAGAGTCTAAACAAGTTCAGATTTTTACCCAAAACTATTACCAGTGTAAAACCCCTGGAAGCAAGATGAAATGCCGTTCCTTGAGAGTTACTGTCTTTAGCAGCACAAGGGAGGGTGGAATGTGGTGGCACACATCTGTACACATCTGCAATCCCAGTACGCAGGAGGCTGGGGCAGGAGGATCAGCATGAATTCAAGGCCAGTCTGGCTTACTGCCAGATTGATCTCAAAGACAAAACAACACGACACAGCAAATGAACGACTTGGGCATACACTTTTAATTACTCGTCTTCTGTGTATCAGGGAGTTAAAACCAGATCCAACTGACTCTCTGGTTACCCCCTTTCATTTTGGATTCAATGCACTGCCCACTTCCATTCTTGATTCTTACAAGAACGAAAGGCAGACCTTGTGTGCGTGCTGAGATACCTTAACCCTATGAGACTGCTTACAAAAAATTCCCATTGATGACTGGATGGGCTTCTGTGTTCGGAACGCCAGCTCTTTACTGACCAAAGAGTAAGGGAAGAGCAAGCCCTTACAGTCACCAGCTCATTCTCACCAGGTAGGAAAGGCAAACACTAATGAAAGCAGAATCTTACATTACTAAAATGATTTTTAAAAAGTTTAATTTGAAGTAAGAATAATACAAAAATAAAATAACGACTGTAGAGACACTAGGTTTGCATCTGTTTCTTATATAAGTGGCCGTGCTGGCAGAGAAACGAGTCAAACCTCGTACGCAGCTACATTTATTCTCACAACATTTTACATTTAAATGTGCAAACGTGGTCAACAGAAAAAGGCATCAAAAAGAAAACAAGACGTCCTTTTAGGAGGAAGCGGCTGATACGGCTGCCTGGCAATACTCTCACAGTTGGTGCAAGCAAAGATCTTTGCCTTGAAGTGCAACCCCCCCTCCCCCCTCATGGTTCCAAGGCTTAAACTCAGAGCCCTGTACATCTTACGCAAGCGCTCTACCACTGAGCCACACCCCCAGTATGCTGAAACAAGTTCAATTGCTTTCTTACTGGCTGTGAGCATGTCGGATGTGAGGAGGTGAGGTTAAACCCGGCCAACTTGAGAGCTTTTGGCTTGATTAAATTGTGCTAATGTTAGGGAGACATTTCCCCACATGGTTTGTGAAATCTTGCGTTGCAATGCTCGTACAGGGAGTGTGCCCTAGAGTAAGGGAAGCTTTGGGGCTACACGTAAGTGGTCCTGTTCTGAGTGGTTTGTTCTGTGTCCTTCTTAAATGTCTAATGTGTATTAAAAAAAAATAGCAGTGCCAACAGTTATATCACCAAGAATTTGTTTTAATGGAAATGGGTCTAATGTCCCTTCATGCAGTGAGACAGACAGACAAACAAATGAAACAATGGTTCCAATTAGCCATGGGTGATCCTGAATCCAGGTGGAAACGAAGGGCAAGTGGATGGATGTGTAGCTCTTTGATGACGTCACGCAAGTTGTGAAGGATATAAAAACAAAGCACCGCACAGTGCCTTAGTCTATCTACGAAGACATGGTCTTAGCCATAGGCATGTTGGCTACCACGGTGATGCTGCCCCGGAGCACAGGGAAGGTGGGCAGAGCACTCCTACCTAGTTGCTTTTAAAAAATAAAAGGAACCTTTAAGCATTCTGCCCTTGTTTCTACATATTCCAATAAAAATGTGACTACAAATCATTACAAAACCACCTTGTAGGCGATGTAGTTCACTGAGATTAATTAGACCCAGGTAACTGACATTATACCCGGGAAAGAGAATACATTAACACAATAATGCGCCATATTTCAGTAAAAATAGAATAAATAAAATAAAAATATTTTAAGCTGTATTTAACAAGTTAATTAAAAAAATGCTAAGACACACAAGGCTTAGTGAACACGGCTGCCTGTTCCCGAATCCCGGATCTAAAGAATGCATAGATAACCGAAGTCACTAAGATCTCAGGTGAAACACTGGCATCCTTTCACAAACAAATGCAAACATACTTTCATACATACTTTTTGGCCATGGCAGAAAGTTGTCTGAAAACACTGTTTAACATAATTCATTTTACAAAAATCAACCTGCATTTAGTAGGCAAAGCTATTTTCAAAACAAAACAGCCGCAGTAAGAGTTTTTTTTTCCCTGTGTAAAGGCTATCGTTCCTCTTACTGAGTCCTAAAATTGCATATATAAATCAGTTTGCTACTTAAAGCTAGCTCAGTATTCTTGATCCCGAAAACAAACAAATGTAGGTCGTAAAGACGAACAGAGTTTGGATGGAGACGTCCTATAGAAACAGGGATTACTTTAGAGTTTTGAAGTGGAGTGCATTAAAACATTTCACCATGGGGCTCAAAATGAGTGACCGTAACTGGATTCTGGACAGTTTTTCTCTGGGCACAATAAGGTTTTCTTAACTCAGAAATCTCTCAGATGGCACTAGTTACTTCAGCTAGTATGCAAGTTGGCACCAAGTATTAATGCATCTTTTTCTCAAGGAACATCACTTTTATTGTAGTGTGTGGATGCCAGAGAACAGTCCAGGTTCTCTGCATCTGATGCCATGGGTTTTCTGAGGGACCCACAGGTGGAACATGCTCACTTCAACGCAGTCTGTGGCTGCTAAGTGCCATAGTCGGGAAGGTTTCTACACAAGTGATGTAATATCTAGAAAATCTCAGCTTAGGAAGGCTGCAGAGGACAGACATTTGTCCTCTACAACATGTTTGAGGGACAACAGTCCGGGACCGAGAAAGGACAATGGTCTTAACAATAAATGCCACTGTGTAGATTAACTGGACATTTTCCTTAACACACTTGGGGATTCTGAAATTGCCTGATAGTATTTTCATTATCTGTTCTGTGTATGGACCTAGAGTCATCTGTGAAGGGTCTTCCTGACTGTGTGGAAGAGGCATAAGGTGGCAAAAGCTGGGAGACATGGTCCTGGTTCTGGCTCTCAGGAACTTGGGTGAGATCCTTGGCCACTTAGCCTCTTGGTACAAAACCGTGTGTATTTGATTTCTTCAGTGAGTTTGGTACCTTTTCTACCTTGTAAGGCTCGACTGGGATAAAACTGTGGACATCTGCAGAGCAGCGCATAAACACAAAGCATTACTTTTATAATGATATTAATTTTGATATTAAAAGTAAACAAGAGTAACATAAGATTGATCTTTGCAACCTCCTTTTAAAATAATGTCAACAAGAGTCTAAATTTGTGTATCTTTATAGTTAGGTTTCTTAGCTACATAAAAAGAGACAAGAAAATGATATTTGGGGAACGCTATCAAACAATCTATTATTTCTGTGTATATTGTGCTCAGATAAGAAAAAATTAAATCTTTTGAAAGTAAAATGGAAAAATAGAAGTTTAAAACATATCTAGTCAAGTCTTACCAAATTTCTAACATTAAATACATAAGTTCAAGAAAAGTACAACTTAAATTTGTTGCCATGGACACTGTATGATGGCTAGACAGCTCTCTGGACAAAAAGCATAGCGAAAGCTTGGGGCAGATAGGGACTCCTAGGAGGACATTACCTCCAGGATGTGAACTAACAAGAATCACACAGTGAGAGCTAAAATCATAGTGTGTGACGGAGATAAAAATGACATTTCCTCAACTCTAAATTGCATATTAGCTTGTCAAACTAAGGATGGAAAGTGTCGGAATATTTCACTTTTGGGTGTGGGTGGAGAATGGCCATAGCATACTTCAATTCCCTAGCTGCATTGTACAATGTAAGGCAGAAGTTTGAAATATGTCCCATCCCAAATGTATTATGAATCTGCTAATCTCTCTCTCTCTCTTTTTAAATAACCAGCTTGAAAACCATCTGAAAAGAAAGGCTATTTTTTTTGCTTGATTTTTAATTCCTCAAATTTAGTTTTCTATCAATTTTAAAGTTTTCCTTTTCCCAGCACCCCAAAGACATGAAGGGGTGTCCATGCATCAGAGAGCTCGCTGAGGAAAGTGGCTGGTTAGTTGTCTGCACTGATGCCAACAGCCAGTTTTTGTCAACTGACAGGTTCACTTTTATGAAAAACTAAAACCCAAATGTTCTTTTTACAGGAATTCAACGGTATCTGTCCCTCGGGGTCTGAATGTTTTAAAAGCTGAAAGCAAGGCAAAGTGCCAAGGGACCCCAAGGTTGCTTGCGACAGATCCAACCAAGAGGACAGAAAATGAACCTGGGAATCATTCACTCCAAGAATGCAGCATTAGTTCTCTAGGAAGGGTGCGGCCACATTCTTCGGAGAGTGTGTGAAGTCCTGCTCACAATATTTACAGTAAAAGACCTTCCACTGCTCATGATGGAACTTACGGGAACAGAAAACGAAAACAACTCATGCTTCTTTTCATAGCACATGGTGGTGGCAAGACGTGGTCACATGCTTGTCTTAACACTGTTTGGTTAAGGATGAATTCTCTGGAGACAAAGCATCAGCAACTGAATGGAAGGCCAGCTGTCGGCTTCTTTAGTGTAGACGTTTGCTCTTCAGGTAAAAGTGACAGAATCCTGGAGCCCAGAGCTGCTAGGGCGTTTCTGGGACGGGGCGTTTCTGTTTCAATGTGTCAATGAGCGATAAGACCCCTCGTTTTACGTTAGTTGTGACTCTTCTGGTCACTGAGTCCGCTGGCGGGGGTGGAGGTCGGACTTTCTGTGAAGGTGGCCTGGCTACCAAGCACTTCTGATATCGCAACTGGAATAAAACAAGCAAGCAGCAATTTAGGTAATAGTATTTCTTCTTGGTTGTTGTGTTCAAAAGTTGATGGCCCAACTTCTAAATATAAATCTAGGAGTTCATCACCACTACCACCAACACCCCACCAGCACTATTGCCACCACTACTAGTACTATTACCATCATTACCACCACCAACCACCACAAGTACCACCAACACTGCCATTACCACCACCCCCACCCACCAGCACCAGCACCACCCTCCACCCCTGAGGTGGGATTCCCCTCTGTATGCTGTGAATACCACTGGTGAATAAAAGAAACTGCCCTGGCCTGTTGATAGGAAAGAGCTTAGGTAGGTGGGGAAAACCAAACTGAATGCTGGGAGAAAGGAGGCAGAGTCAGAGAGAAGTCATGGAGCCGCTGCCAGAGTCAGACATGCCGAAACCTTGCTGGTGAGCCACTGCTAGGTGGCGATACACAGATTAATGGAGATGGGTTAAATTAAGATGTAAGAGTTAGCCAATAAGAAGCTAGAGCTACTAGGCCAAGCAGTGATTTAAATAATATAGTTTCTGTGTGACTATTTCAGGGCTGAGCAGCCAGGAAGGAAACAGGCAGCCCTTCCCCAACACACCCCCACCCCATCTCTACCAGTAATACTATTACCACCATCACCATCTGGTCTACCACAGCTGCCACTCATCACCATTATGCCTGCCACCACTGCTCCCCATCCCCCCTCCATACTAGCATTTCTATTGTGTGGTGGGGAAGACTGACCCAGGTCCTTGTATATGCGAGGCAAGGGCTGTACCCCTGAGTGCATCTGCAGTCCAGATTAATTTCTTTCTTAATGTGGGATGTTTTAAATTCCCACAGCTGTTTGGCTTCTCCCACCCGTCCTTTCTGCCCACTGCACACAGTCAACAGCTAGGCAAATGAAAAGGATCAGTAGAGAGAGAGCGTTAACTAAGCTTTCCAACAGACATGTACATCCAGGAAAGTGTTGGTGACATGGCATGATAGGAAGGGCACAGTCTGCATCCAGGCTGTATTGCTTGTGAGCTCTAGGAACCCAGCCATTGCATCTCTCCAAGTCTCAGTGTCTTTGACTATAGAGCAGTTGAGAATTACAAAGCAAACTGTAGAAAGCCTTAGATAGGCCTAGCAACATGTATTTGTTCCTGTTCCTGTTTCCTGCTGTAATAGAAAATGTTGTAATGAGATTTCAGTTATCTCTTTTAACTAAAAGTATAAACCCTAAGAGATTAAAAAAACAGAAAACCAAACCAACACCTACCATGAGCATTGGGAACACAGGCATATCTATCCTCCAGAAATATAGCAACACAGGCCTGCTGAGATGGCTCGGCAGGTAAAGGCACTTGGTTTTCAAACCTAACAACCCGACTTTGACACCAGAAACCCAGAGTAGGAAAGAATGAACTCCCCAGTGTTGTGCCTCGATTTCCACACGTGGCACTCCCTTCCTCACACACACCATATACACTAATAAAAACTCCTTTGTTGTTTTTCGAGACAGGGTTTCTCTGTATAACAGCCCTGGCTTTCCTGGAACTCGCTCTGTAGAGCAGGCTGTCAGACTCATAGAGATCCAACTGCCTTGGCCTCCCAAGTGCTGGGAGGTGTGTGCTACCACCTGGCAATAAAAAACTTTTTAAAGAGAGAACTACATCAACATAGCCTGCTTGCTTTTGAACTAGTAGAAAGTTAAATAATTCTTCAGTGTTAGATGAAAAGGATTATGTTTGTCATTTCTTTCTGATCTCTAAAGTCAAGTTAAAGGTCTATTGACCCTTGGCATAGTTATAGCTGCTTCTCCCTCAAACACATGAAAACACTCACCAAAAAATGGGACGGGGTTTCGAATGCTCTCTCATGTCCCACAGGTCAGAAAACTCAGTACACACAAAAGGGTGGTTTACCACATGTCTGCTCTATGGAGAACATTTTGCTAGGTCTGCATCACCAATCACACGCTTCTTAAAGCATCACTTAATCAGCAGGTAAGTGTGGCAATATTAAACCCTGGACTTGAAATTTCAAATAGTAGCTTTGTATGCATATCGTGAATCAAAATTGCACATAACTGATGGAATTCATAAATAAAGAATCCGCTCTGACCTCTTTTAAATTCCATGAAAGAGTCTTCACTTAGGCCTATATAACACAGCTGCAGAATGGGCCTTAAAAGGGAATTCAAAAGAATGTGTCACTACCATATCTCTGTTCGTATCAATCCATGCATAAGTATTCCAGATGGAGAAGGGCATGGATTTGACTGAAGAAAGGTACCTCTCCCTGCATTGGGGAGAACTGGATTCAGAGCGTGGTGGGAGCTTAGATTGTACCCACGTGCCTTCTACCACACTGCCTGAGCTACTCCAGCTGGTTGCATTAATAAAATTTTTATTAAAAAAGTGTTTTCAAGTGGAAAAATGATTCTGGGGATCTGGAAAAACAAACCTGTAGCCACTGATAAAACTAATTAGCTAACTGTCATTAGCATTTAAAATGTATAATTAAGAGTGAAAGCCATTCATTTTAGACCCAAACCATCTGTTACGCTCCATTTCAATTTTGTAAAATATCTAGTTTTCTCTCTTGACTGAAAGAGCACTTGTTTATTTCCCATGGTCCCTTCCTCCCATCTACACCTGGTTCCCAGGTCCCACCTCAACTCCTACACTCCCTTGCTCCTCCCCCACAGCCCTGCTCCTGAATACTCAGGCTGCTGAGCATTAGCATCCTGTGTGCACAGCACTTAGAGAAAACAGCCCTCCCACTGAGGACCAGTGAGTGGGAAGCAGAGTGGATCCCAGGTCTCTCTTCCTTCCTTCCTTCCTTCCTTCCTTCCCTTCCCCCCACTCAATAGTCTCAAAGATTAAAAAAAAGGGTGTGTGTTTATCATGTGCTACAGGACACACATGGAAGTCAGAGGACAACTTGTGGGAATTGGTCTTTTCTCATGTGGGCTCCACGTCTCAAAAATTAGCTTACCAGGTTTGGTAGCAAGTGACTTTACCTGCTCACTGGCCTCCATAGGTATCGGTAGCCAATCTGCTCTTTTCCTATCCTGTTGTCTAAATAGTCATCAGTGCCCTTCACCATGGGAAGGCAATAATACCTGAGACAGAAATCTAGAAAAAGAAGCTAGAATGTACAGACCATACCAGATGTCGGGGTTTTTTTTTTTTTTTTTTTTTGTTTTTCTGTGTTTTTTTTTTTTTTTTTTTTTGATTCAGAACTCATTTTGGGGACGGCACGACAACTGGCTTGGGTGTGATTTATGATTTCTTGGATTGCGCAAGTCAAAACGAGGCCAAATGCAGCCTTGCAAGACATGGCCCGTGTGAGAAGAGAAAGATGTCAAGAAAATAGCAGAAGGAGCTGGTGATGAGAGTGAAGGGGGGGGGCGCTTCCACGGCCAGGCCACACTGTGGCTGGCAGAGGCAAAGAGGGGGGAGTCTGTGGTGATGGATCTGCCAGGTGCTGCAAGCTTCCACACAGAGGACTGATAATTGCAAAACCTTAAAGACAAACAAACACATAGAAGTGCTGTAGGCAATAGGTAGTTTTTAACACCTATTGGTAGTTTTCACAGAACGACTGTCTTATGTGTGGTCTGTCATTCACATTGACATACATGTCATTATAAGGCACATGATTCACGTGGCTCCTGTAGCACAAGAAAGTGTGCAGATCACCTCCGTCCTAAACAAACCAAGCTCACAGACCAGCCCTCGACAGACTTTCCTAGTTCCCACTTTCAGAGTCTTTCTCCCTTTGTCGAATTCCTTCTCAGTCTGGTGTAGTCTCCTCCACTTATAGCTCTTTCCACACTACTATGGGGCTTGGGATTTTATGTCTCTCCCGCTACACTGACCTCCCTGATTCACAGGGCTTTCTGGGGGCTGTGCAGAGCTCCCGGATCCACACTTGGGGCTCTCCGGGGTCGTAGCAGAGGGGACTCCTCACACAAGGGAGTACTCCATCTCACTGATCATGGCCTCGTTAGCTCTCTTCTGGCTGCCTCCTGCCGAGGCCCCTCCTTGTCTCCCTAGGCTCCAAGCTGGCGGCCCGGGTTGATCACGGCACCTCAATCTGTACTTTAAACTTGCCCTCACGAGGCAAGGTCTCCAGGAAGAGGGACTGTCTTCCTTTTGGATGGAATACTATTTTAAAACCTAAGTAGGAGCTGGTAGCGGTGGCGCATGCATATAGTTCCACTGCTGGGAAGGTTGAGAGTTTAGACAGTCTAGGCTACAGTGAGTTCCAGGCCAGCCTGAGCTACTGTGAGACTTTATCTCAAAACACCAAACCCAAATCCAGAAAAATCCCAGAAGCTAGAGATGACCAATTCCTACTTGGTAATCTTTCCTGGAGAGACCAACTTCACCAGCCTTTCATGACAGGGGTCCTGTGTCTTCCACCAGTTCCAGCGACTATCACTAGACCGTGCCCTGGACCTCAGGCTCCAGTGCCTACCTTCCCAGTTCCTTTGCTCTGACCAGAAGAGTTCCAGTGTGTGCAAGAAAGGTTCCCAGAGCACATCTGCTCAACGAAGAGATGCTTACGTCTCAAATCAGACATCCTGTGAAGTACTCAGGCCTTGTGAGCCAGCAGCACGGGGCCGACTCTAGTCTGTTACTGATCACTATAAAGTACGGGGCTTTGGGAGTTAGACGTTATCCATTAAATACAGGCTTTCCACTCTAATTTACAGCATCTAGAACAAGAAGGACAGGGAAGGTGGAGCAAAAGGCGGGCTCCCTCACCATGCAGGCAGCCTGGACGGCTTCTGACACGTTGGCGGCATTCGGCTCACACCAAAACACGTGGCACTCAAAGCGCTGGTTCCCAGTGTCCATGATGAAGGCAAATGTGTGGACATCCTTCCCGACACCCATGAAGGACAGAAACCGCACTCGACACTCCACCAAGATTTCCTCTTCGCTCTGTAAGAGACATGGTTCAGCACCCGTGTTCTCTGGGAAGTCAGACAGCTGCCAGCAAAAAAAAACGTCAGAACTTAAATACTTCAGAGAATTCCGCTTACAGAGCCTGGTAGGATTTGCATCTTATTAGAAAGTCAGAACCGAGAGGCCACCACTGCCGTGGGTATCTGATCTCACAGTGAATGACCCCGCTGCTGTGGAAAGGGATGTGTGTCCCATTCTCTATCCACTGCAGCCCACATCCGTTCTTCACTGTGCGAGGAACAATGTCACATAGACTTCTGTAGACCTCCCAACGCAGGGCCCTCGGTGGCTCAGGACCCCTTTGTCTATGTGAACCTTTGTCTATGTGTGTCCATGAGTAAAAGATTCACATGTCTCGCTCCACTGTTTTTTATTCAAGCACCAAATCACATCCAACACTGTGGAAGACAAAATGCTGCTAATCAACACATTTGTCAATTCACTCCCCCCTCCTCTTCTCCACACACAAGGCAGCACAAAGACGTGTGTGGGATTCATTTCATAGCTGACATCCATGGCAGCAACCACAGGCAATTTGTGAGTTAGTAAACACAGCCAGAAGGCCAGCTCTCAAACTGTAACACTCTGGCTTGTTAAATATTCATTCATTTCACAGGCGTCCTACCCTGGGCAGGGAGGTCAGGGGGTTTGCAGAAGAAATGCTGGAGTTGGAATCTGGGAGAGAGGGTGTGGACAAAGGGGTGTGGTACACGGAGGGACCTGCACCAGTCAGAACACCGCAGTGGGGGAGGGCACCACAACACGCTTTAGGAGTGAAATCCAGAACGAGGGGAGAGGAAGGCAGGCTGAAGAGGACTGTTCACTGACAACAGTGAACAGTTTTGACAGTGACCTGCTGGTGGCGGAAGCTGGGACATGCTTATGACCTGAGGTCTTCCCAGTACAGGGGCTTCTCACACCTTGGTAAAGGAGGCTGAACTCAGACCATCTGGCTTGAAGGCCCGGTTCTGTGCTTCCAATTTGATCTTAGCCAAGTAACTCTGTTCAATCATCCTGATGGGATAATCTGGGTTGAGGCGAACGCCGGCCTGTCAGGATGACCAATGATCTGTTCTCCAGATCATATATATCATTGGGCTTCCCGAATACAAGCAACGTTTGCACCCAACTCCAGACAGCATGGCCTAGTCCACACCAGAGCCCTCATAACAAAACTGAAAGGCACAGTAAGCTACGGCTAGTGCCACCTGTCACCTTGAACCATTTCAATCTCTCAAGCACGCGAGGAAGGCAGAACGGGGGCATCAGAATAGGAGTTTCCAGGTCCTGAGGGAGGCACAATGAGGCCCAGACAAAGTCCCAAATCTTCTATAAACGTAGAAGGCCATTTTAATCACAAGTCAATATCACCCCCAAGAGGCCAAGCCCAGTGTCCTCTCAAGCTCCTCACCTTCTCACTGATGACGGTGACTGTGGCATCGGCCACGTTCATGTTCACCGAAGGCCAATCCTCCTTGCTGGATGAGGTCATCAGACTTTCTATGGCACTGTTCAGGGTGTCCATGCCTACACAGAGAAAGGATAATTAAAACTTCACTCTCTGATGCAGGCCCAGTCACTCAGGAACAGCCAGACCCAGGTTGGCCTTTGTAGTTCCTGGGGTCAGGCCACCTTATGGCTTTATCCTCAAGTTTGCTCAGAAGACAAAAAGCCAGTTTTTCCAATAGAGAGTCCTGGGTACCTCCAGGGATGTGTGTGTATGTTTGTGCCTGCATGTCTGCATGCATACATGTGTGGTGTGTGTGTGTGTGTCCTGTCTATGAGACTATGATGCTCCAACCTCAAGCCTGCCTTTGAGAGCCTGAGGAAGGAGACCCAACAGAAGCCAGCACCTACCAAAGTATCAGACCCTTCCCCATCACACTGACATTTTGTCAGGGAAGAGTTGATGGCCCCTTTACAGATGCTGCCCAGTGGGGTTCCTTTGCTAGCTGTAGAATAAGTAAGCTCAGAACAAGCTAAATCTGTTTATTGTGTGTGAGAGCACATGACACTGTGTGCGTGTGTCTGCAGACAACTTTCCAGCTGTCCTGCGCCCCCTGAGCTATCTGGCCTGCTCAGGAGTAACAACTTCATTGTGACATAACTTGCACGGAATTCACTCTTGTTAATGCATACCACCCAACGGTTTTCGGTCTACTCATAGGGGAGTCATCAAATCAATCTTAGTATATTTTCAGCACCTCTGTAATCCTTAGTGGGCACTCTCTATGTTCCCTACAACCAGCCTCGAATCAGTTCCTACTTTCTGTCTGGTTCTGGGGCCCTGCCTCTTGTCAGCACTCCTGTTAAGAACCCTACACAGAGGACTCTTTTGGGGCGGGAGAGGTGACTTCTTTGATCCATCTCAATGTTTCAAGGGTCACACGTGCTGTGACATGTTTCTTTACTTTTTTTCTTGCCAGATAAAATTCCATTATCAGAAAGGTGATGGCCATTAGGAGTGTCTTTCCTTTTGAACAAATGCTACTAGGAATGTTTTTATAGCTTTGGCGGGGAACAAAGCTACCAGTTTCCTTGGGTATGTGTTTGAGGGCAGAACTGCCCAGTCAAACAACAGTTAAGGTCTTTGACCCTCTGAGGAAGTGCCTAACGGCGCTCCAGAGAGCATTTTACTTTCCCCCCAAACCTCCGACTTCTCCAGGGCCTTTTCCAGTCACGGAGAAGCTACAGCTTCTCTGTGAGCTAAGGCAGGTGGAACACCTCAGTTCCTGGCACCAGGGTAGGACATACCACTATGGGTCACTGTGTAAAGATATGGGGGCTCCATCAGTCTTTCCCACCTATCTCCAGTGGGCAAGAACGGAGGCAGGAGCCTGACCCCAAAGCTGAGAGCTAGAGCACTCTACAGTCGTGGGCTGCTCATCCCTGGAATGCTGGGACAACAGGAAACACACACCTGTTCCCTTGGAGTCTCTGCATGCTGGACCGCACATCAAGTCAAGGTTAGCTTGCCCCCACCACCTATGTGACCAGGATGATCATGTGTCCAGGCTGGTGTCACTACAGAGGCACGAGTCAGGATTAAGGTGAGGAATGATACAGTGGCCCTCACCCTCCTGGGAGAACCAACGGCTCTTGTAAGCTTTGGAAGCCTTGCCCAGTTTTACCTACCAACAGGTCTGTCCACGGGTAACATGCCCAGGTACTGCACGTGGAACTTCTGCACCAGTTCTGTCTTTGGTGTTGGAAAATCTACTACAGGGAACAAAAGCAGTGTGTTTCTCAGTGGTTCCAGGGTACGGGGAAAGCCAGCTGTCCATCTGGAATCTGCACGCCCAGATGGCGACCCATACCAGAGCACCCTGTTCCCGGACGTTCGTTCTATAACGACAGCATTTCCCGACTCCAGATGTAGGTAGGGGCTTTGCCAGTCTAAACCCTACTGATCTCTCTTTCAAGGTGAAATGCTTAGGAAGACAAAACCCAGTATGCTAAGTCGTTCATGTGCTAAGAAACAGCTTTTCATGCCCTACTTGTTAGGCGTGGCTGGTGCCTGAAGAAAGTTTATATACATTATATATACAAAGGGTATAGATAATCAAAGGCACGGAAAAAACAATGCAGTCCCCCCAACTAACAATCTATAGATGTTTAAACTAGACAGCCCTTACCCCCATGGTAATACATGGGATTAAACAAAACAAAACGAAATCTCTGCTACCATATTCTCTAATTTGTTCAACAGAAACAAAAAACAACTTCCCTGTTTAATACTTTTGAACTCTGTCCCCTTGGGGCCTGGAACACACGCTCATCGCCCCCCTCCCCCACCCAGGCAGGGTCTCACCATGCAGCACCCAGGCTGGCTCACAGTTCTACTGACTCTATGTCCCAAATTCTAGAGATTGGAGTCTAGGATGGAGGCCACCATGCCCGATTTTAAGGTCTATTTTTATTTTATATGTATGAAAGGTTTAGTTAGCTTGCATATATGTGCAGCACATGCGTGCAGTCCTTGTAGAAGCCAGAAGAGAGCAACAGATGCCCTAGAACTGGAATCACACATGGTTGTGAGCAGCCGTGTGGGTTCTGGGAATCGAACTCGGGGATTCTGGAAGAGTAGCCGGTGCCATCATCCAGCCCTCGAGTGTGCTTTTGAAGGAGACCAGAGAACCCTGCCACCCTCCGGTCTTGCAGGACTGGCAGGAGCCTTGGAGGGGCCGCTGTAGACATACCTTGCAACGGGACGTCGAGACTCACATTGTTCCTTTCCTGTAAAGAGCTGCAGGCCAGGGCTTTGGCATTCTTCCGTTCAGCCATAATCTAGACAGTAAATGAAAGCGCATTGTGGGTTCCCGGCTATGGACCCCATGTCACCAGCCAGCCCTGCCGGCAAAGCATCTGAGTGGATTCTACCGGGATTTAAACTGACGCTCATCTTCTGCCTCCTTTCCCTCCTCTCCCTGCGCTACAAATTATATGAGATTTCACCTTTCCCTGCTGGGGATGACAGGTGAACATTTCCTCAGAATAACAGCTCTCTGAATGCTTGGAAGCTTCTTCTTCCATCTACTCATTCCCACACCTGTGGAGGACAACCCAACAGGCACCCTCTGGGGGCACCTGGACCCTCTGACCCCTGAGCTCAGAGAGCACAGAAACACGCTTCCCTGGTACTGTCCCAGGGAGACTCTCAGATACTCTTTCCAGGCCTCTGGAGACTTCAGATCCTACCACTGCCCTTACTAGCTGTGACCTTGGATAGGTAAGCTGCCCTTTTGTGCATATAAACGAGAGTGTGTATGTCACAGCGCATGTGTGGAATAAATGAATATTAAACGAGTCCAGAGGGCTCAGGAATGTTGGCTGCTCCCGTTGTCCTTCTCCGGCTCTTCCAGGCGGTCTCTCTTCTGTTAGGGACACTAAGGGTCACTGTGTGCACGCATCTTTTTGTTCTTGTTCTCCACCAGGGAGTTACAGTGGTGTGGGTTTAGGGATTGAAAGACGCCTGGTCACAATGGCCCTGGAAGTAACTCGCGCTTTGAATCCCAGCCCAAGATGTTCATTGCAAAGTAATGACCGTCATTTCTCTAGGTGTATGTAATGTGGCGGTGACAAGACATTCACAGGAACATAAACACAAGTCACATGCAAAAACTCCACCATCTTGTGAGGGACTCAGACATCCCTGTGAGTGGGTAACCCTGAGGTCATGGATATGCCTTGAACTTGGAATCTACTACACATTAACAATGGGCCGAGCACCACCCTGCCCACTTCTTCCTGGGTTTGATGTCACAGGCAGCTCTCCGGCCCTCCTGCTCAGTCAGTGAGGGGAAACAGGGAGGTAGACCCTGTGCCCTGGACCCATTCTTACCTTAGAACAGATTTCGTGGAGACTTGTGGCGATGGCTTTTGCTGGTGTGTCACATCGAAACACATGACACTTCAGAATCCTCGTGTCTTTGTCTCTTGCTACATAAGCAAAATCCCTGTGCAGAGGCAATTTGCCAGGATATTAGGAAGAGGAGCCTTTTCTCAACATGTGCTCTAGTTACGACTATTAACGGAGCTCATAGCCAGCATGCCAGCCGTGAACTGCGGATGCAGATTAAACACCAAAACCAAAACACCAACAGCTACAGACAGCAGAAGCAGAGGTCAGTGGCTGTTAGGGACCTGTTGCTATGTGACGTGGTAGTGTCCTCTAAACCTAGCTCTTGAACTCTGGGATAGGGGCCAACCCAGAGTGTACACTGAATTCTGAAGAAAGCGTCTGTCTGGAGTAGTGACAAATAAGACAATGAGACAATGAACGCGGGATTGGGAAGAATATGAATTACAGAATGATATAATGAGAACCAGCACAAGCCAGCAGAAGCGAAACAATGGGCTGTGATGTGTGGGCGGGCACAGAGGACGGGCCAGCCCCACAGCTGCCTGAGGAAGCTGATGGGCAATCAGAGAACCCCGGAACACACATGTCCTGTGACCTGGACGTTACCAAAGGCATACGACTTTGCCAGACATCCACACTGCGTCCCTGGGGGCAATGCTGGTCTCCTGTGTTATATATCGGGTTAGCTCAAGCAAGCTGACTGCTCTATCTGTGCTACTGATACCCATTATGACATTACTTGGCTTCAGAACAACCATACCGGGTAACACAACTAAGTTTCTTGCTGTTATTAACGGAGACAGTGGCTCTCCAAAGAGGAAGTGAAAGGTCTCGCTGTGTAGCCGAGGCTAGCCTGGAACCCCAATCTTCTTACCTAACTTCTAAGTGCTGCAACCATGGCATGAGCCACCCCACACAGCAACTGAATTTATTTTTTACATTACTTGTCTTCCTATCTGTCTTTTTTTAAGTTTTAAAGATACATTCTATATTTTAATTATGTGTGTGGGTATGTACACCGGTATGCAGATGCCCCCCCCCCCACCAGAGGCATGCAATCTCCCTGCAGCTGGGGATGCAGCCAGAGCCGTGAGTGGGTGCTGGGAACCCAGCTCAGGTCCTCGGAAAGAGCAGGGCACGCTCTTCGCTGCTGAGCCACCTCCCAGTCCCTACTTGTGGGTTTCTGAGATACGGTCTCACAATGTGGCCCGGGGCCAGCCACAAAATTACAGCAATTCTCTTGCTTCCACCTCCCCACGTGCCAGAATTATGGGTGTGAGCTACCATGCAGCTTCGATTACTTCTCTTAATACGGAAGAAGTTGGCAAGATTTCCATCGATGACCACACGAAGCTCTAGCCATACGTGTGGTACTAGGGTGAGGGAAAGTTGGTGAGCTCGAAGGAGGATTGGCAACAGAAACCTGCCTCCTGGCCTTCGTGCCCTGGAGTTGGTCCTGAATACAGCGCATCCTTGCCTGCTATCTCACAGGTTCTGCCCTCAGCCTGCCCTCACCTGCCCTCAGTATTGCTCCTAACTGCCTCCTGCTCCTTCCCTGCCTATCTCCGTTGGCATCTTCCATGCTGGAATCAAATGTTCCCTAGCCTGCCAGCCACAGCCCTGCACCCGATCCCAATGTCTTGGTCTATCTCACCACCTGGAAATCTCCTGGATCCCTCGCTCCCCGTCCAGCCTGACCAGGGCTCAGCATCCCAGCAAGTTCTCACCCTTGCCTTTCCTTACTTTGTCTCCACTCTATTGCCACTGCTGGGCTAGGGTTCCCTATGTACACCAGACTCACCAGTGGGCATCCTGCAAGTCCACAAAGCTCCATGAAGATGGATTATATCTTAGGCCCAATGCCTAGTCTGGGCCAGGACACAGCAGAAATGAGTAACATTTGGGGACTGAAGCACAGGCTTGCTCCACGTGTCCCTGGTGCCGACAGGGAGTGGTGGCCTTTACCCGAGGTGTGAATGGGTACCACGGCACTGGGTGAAGGGATAGGTCTGGGGGTGGGGCACACTTTGAGAGGTGAGGATAATCTTTCTCCTTATTGTGTTCTCAAAGCCTTCCCATGCCAGGCTCAAGTGCCATGAAGGAAACAACAACAAGGAAAGATCAACAGTTCATTCTGGAGATGGCTAAGGGGAAGCCTTGTTCGTGGTTTCCTCCCCAAGCTCCCTTCATTTCCCAGATGGTTCAGACAGTAAGGCACACAGTGTCTGACAACCCTTCCCCTTCCAACTCCCAGGTCTGGCTGCCGTATTTCTGAGGCCAAATCTCTCCAGATTCCCTTGCATCACTTGCAGGAAGTGCAAACATCCTTGTCTGGATTTTGAGAGTTGTAAAATGTCTGCAGCATCTTCAAGCCTCATTCCTTCTAGCAAGGTCTCCCCCTCTCTCTGCTTAAGTACGTGATCTTCATGATTGCATGTTGTGGTATCTTCCCTCATCTGGTGATCATGCGCCCTCCCTGCGCCGTCCAGAGCGCACTCACCTACCCAGCACAGCCTACCCGAGGTCTGCCTGGCTCTCTGACCCACAAGGCCTTGCTTGTCTAAATGCTGTCAGTATGCAAATTCTGCTCACTATACTTTCTCTTGTAGAAATGTACAGTTCCCCTTCTGTGTTTGTCCTCTCTAAGGGTCAGGAAAGAACAGAAAGAAGGGCGCTGGATGCAGGCAAACCAGCTTCTAGTTTGTTCCTGGTTTTACTTAGCTAACATCTCTAACCCCAGAAACCTCAAACCAAAACTTGCTGGACAGGGCACCACAAGTGGAAAAGGCCACACCATGAAACTGAGGGTTTTTTTTTCTTTTTTATGAAATTATCAAAAACGGTATTAAAACTGCCTTTGGCTTGTGTGAACAAGAAATAACTGTCAGATTGCATTTTGGATCCCATCTCATCATGGAAATGCAAACATTCCGAATCCAGAAATCCTTCTGGTCCTAAGCATCTTGAGAAGAATACAGGGCTGGTGTGACCCCACGCCTGGTTACGAAGCCCATCTTTATGTGGGTAGAGACATTTACTTCCACATTGCTTAGCTTCTGATGAAAACTTCCAAGACCCAGGCTCCTCTCTAGCCTGACTGGCAGCCAGCAGGAAGCCTATATTCCCAAGGTTCCCAAGGTCACTAGCAGAGAGGAGAGGACACACCTGGGCCACTAATCACGGGATCAGTCCTACCAAGCACTGGCTACATGCTGTCTGTTCTTTCATGTGTAACCTCACAGGCATAATTTTTAAAAAATCACTACTCTTAATCTTCATCTTCTTTCGGCTCAGGGGAAGGTGATGAACGCCGCAGGGCAATCGTCCGGAAACTACCTCTTCCCGAAGGAGAAAGCGTGCAGCCTTGGGCCTTGGGGGAGGGCTTTTCACAAAGTTTGAGCAGCCGATCTGTATTTCTTCTTAGGTAGATAACAGATAGGCAGAAATCTCAGCGCTTCTTTCCGTAGAGTCAAGAGGGCTGGATGTCTCTAACTTTATTCCATTAAGTATTCCAAATCACCCTAAAACAGCTGTCACTCCCCGACATGGAGGTCTGCACCGACAAAGCTTGTCCCTCGGACCTAAGCATGGACAAGCATCTCATGAATCAGCAGGAAATCTTCACTGGTTGTGCTGGAAGCTGCTTCCAGCATCCGCCTTCTGGAAATGGTTGCTGCAGCAGACACAGTAACAGCTTCCCTTGTTTCTCAAGACATTCTTGTCCTAATTCATGGACTCTGACAAGCATCCTTGCAGATGTACCAACTTAAGGATCTGGAGACAGGGCTGTTTCTCTAGATTGTCTGACTGGCTCTGAGAAATCCTGAGGGAAATGAGGCAACGCCTGCCTTAGAAATGACAGGAGAGGATTGGGGACACAAGCAAAGGGCACAGGGAAGGGCAGGCACGTGTGCTCTTCTGAAATTTCTACAAGAAACACAGCCCTGCTAGCTTTGAAAGACCTCTGACCTCTAGCGCTTTAAGAGTGAGATCTGAGGCTTTAAGCCACTTAAGCTCGTGGTAATCTGCTATAGCAGCGACAGGAAACTCCACGGCTGCCCCACGATTTCCCCCAAACTGTAGTATGGCATTCGGAATTTATAGTTTTTGATAGCCAATTCGCTTCCTCAGGTTCCTTCTGTGGCCCTGCCATGGAGCATCAATGATGCAAACACCGGCAGACAAGGTGCCAGTCAGGAAGCCCACGGGGCCAATTTCACAGACTAGTCAGAGAGAGTCCTATGGTCTGTCCCTGGTAGCCTCTCCAGGGCGAGGAAGGAGAAGGTGGGCCGGATGAGACGCAGATGAGGACAAGGACAGAAAGTAGGTGAGTTACAGGGGCCTTGGAAGAGCCCCTGGTTGTCCGCTGATGCAGCAGGGGTGTGGCTACACGGATGCTGTCCCAGGATCTATCTGCACAGCGCTGCCCCCTGCTGTGTGTGTGTAGCCTTTACTCTGAGGCATTCAAGCCTTGCATTCTTACATGCACCCCGACAGATGTGGCATGTGCTTCAAAAAATTTGTTCTGATGAGGGACACTGAGTTTGAGGTTTTTTGTTTTTGTTTTTATTGTTGTTGTTGTTTTTGTTTTTTTGAGCCAGGTTTTCTGTCAAGCTTTGGGGCCTGTCCTGGAACTAGCTCCTGTTCCGCCTGCCTCTGCCTCCTGAGAGCTGGGATTAAAGGTGTGCTACACGGCCCAGTGGGTCCTTGAGGTCTGTGAGGCAGGGAGTCACTACTAGAGAAGGAGCTGAAGTCAGCCCACCAGACAAGGGTGGAGGATGCAGAAACCAAACAAGGCGTGGACTCTGGGGAAAGGCATTTAAAGGCTCACTACAGAAGCATAGAAAGAGAAGGTGGGGAAAGAGTGAGGGGGAAGAAGGCCCAAGGTGAGGCTAGAAGAAGTTCCCAGGCCTGAGGGACTGCGCAGTAGGAGACAGACTAGTTTGTCTGGGAGAAGGGGAAGCTGACCTTGGCCTTCTGGGCCCTGACCTAGAGAAGGGAATTTGGGATCCTGGTTAAAGCAAAATTGATCCCTTACTTACTTAAAAAAAAAAATTGCTTTTTTTTGGGGGGGGGGGGAATTTATCAATTACATATGAAAGCAGAGAAGAAATAAACTCCCATGTCTGACTACTCAATTTCCACAATGGTCAAAATGGAACCAACTTGCTCAGTATGAAGTTTCACTGCCCCTGACAGTACCATGATGCTCTAGGCCAGTATGCTTATATTAGGGACTCTGTCGGGTTCCCTAGTGGTTTTCCTGCATTCTGAGGGAATAAAAAAGATATTGTATACAGCACTCCAGGTTCAGAGGACCCCTAGAAGGTGGGCAAATGATCAGCCTAGTGTGAGGCTCATGAACTCAGGTGTCGCATCCCAGCTGGTCTGCAGCTGCTTGGATTCTATGTGGCCATCCAGTTCCTATGGCTCAGACATTGTGGGGGAGATAGAAGGCGGGTATACAGTAGGGACGTTTCAAGAGCCACCCACAGTCCAAACGTATTCCCTTCCTGAGCTAGGTTCCTCTGCTGCCCCCTGGTGGCTGGGTTTCTCACACCGTCTGGCAGCTTCCAGGGACAGCATCTCATCTACAAAACCACACCACTAGTCTAAAGGGCCACCAGATCCCAGGTACAACATGGCTTCTGTTTTACCACACATTCTTCTAGATATCTAACTGTCCAAGATGCTCTGTCTGATGTTAGGGACCCTTTGCTCCAGCTGATACCCTGTCCAAGGCTAGACCAGGGGCCACCTGTCAAAGCAGGTACGGGGTCGGTCATCTTGCCCAGAGTCCGTCCCTCCCCATTTGTTTCTTGCCATCACGGGACTTGTAGGGTTTTGTTCTATAAAGCAGGGGGTGGGAGGCTTGCAGCGGTAACCTCATGTCTCCTTCCTGAACTCTGACAGACGCTTGTGACAGGAATCAGGCCCCTCTAGCAGTCTGACTGTGAACCCATGGGCTTCCAGCTTTTTTCTTCTTGTCCTTTTGCTGTTCTCTCTGGTAATTATCCCCCCAGAGGACCAGCCTCAAGTTCTGCCAGAGAAAAAAAATGTCAGTGCTAAGACATCTTTGACAGCCTTGAATTTCTTAATGGCAAAGTGAAGAACCAAAGATTGCTTTCATTATTCTCTGCTCTATGCCATGCTGAGTACCCTACCGGGGCTGGCTCCGTCTTTATGAAATGAACAAATAAACAATTCTTTATTCAAATGACTCCTATTAAAAACAGCTTCTCGGCTCACTCTTTCAATCTCTCCGGCAACTCTCAGGGTACATGGAATCTACCTATGCATTTCTCATTCTGCCAAAGGCACGGAAGAGGTGTCTAAAGACCTCTTAGCCGCGACATACATTAACTGTCCCTGCGCCGGTAACCCTGACAAGTGGTACCCAGATAGAACACTTCATTCCTTATGGAACCAGCTTGTCTTGTTGTTGAAAGGCTTCTAGTGACTGAATGGAAAAATACATATGTACATAAATACATATATGTGCAGCTTGTTTCTCTTAATGAGAAACTGTAATCCCCCTCCCTGTACTTTATGCTGGTTGAAGTGGTTTTCCTTTCTGGGGGAGACCCAGAATGTGATGACTCTGCCAGCAACACTGCTGGCCACATAACAGCCACTGTGCGCTCTCCTCCCCTTTTCCCTGGGACTCATTTCCCATCCACTGTCTCACCAAATCTCCTCACCGGAATTTCTTACCAAGGCTCCACAAGCTAGATGATACCTTTCAGGTAATCCACATCTATTCAGGTCAAATGGATGTTTTTATGCAGAGAGTTGTGAAGGCTGGTCCATGACAGGCACTTGGCGAGTGGCAGTTACCATAATAAATGAGGGGAAAGCAAAGAGAAGCCCACTTTGGATGCAGTCTCCTTTCCACGAAGGATGTTTTTCCCGCATGGCCTGAAGGGAAAGGCTTCCTGCATAGTGTGCAGATATCTGTCCTCCCAGCCTGACTATGTATGGAGACTACCAGCCAGCAGAGTGGTTCCTAAGAGGCCAAGGCAGGACCCCAAGTCAGGATGAGACAGCTGCAAAGGGACCTGGGCCAAAACTCTTCTCGCGCTTTGGATGGAGGCTCTTTCTTCCCTTTCCTTCACACACAGAGTTGAGCACAGGATTCTGGAATTTGGAAAGCTGGCCCACACCAGAACACAGAGTACTGACCGGAATCCCAGGACACATCAAAATTCACCTACTAACACCTCCAGGATCAGGGAGAGAACGTATTCTATGTCCAAGACTGCTCTTATTCTGAGATCATACTTTGGAAGATTTGTCTTGAGGATGGGAGGGGCAGGGAAGAGAAAGAAGGGGACATGAGGAATCTCATTGCCCCAGATGGCTGCTCTAGAACACCTGTCTGCACGCCTGTCTTGGGTGGTGCTTTTCTGCTTCATTTTACCTAACATCAACTGTACCATGGGTGAATATCAAGGAATCTCACCAAGCCTGAGGTTCCATCTTGGTAAACTTTCCCTGCTGCTTCTTCTGGGAAGACGCTACACTTATACTGAACAGGGGCAGCCCGACAGTTCTCGACCTGGGGAGGACATGCTCTGCACAGCAGAACTTCCCAGGCACCCTTTTCAGATGTGGGCCGTGTGAACAGCACGTCTGAATTCTACCATCTGCCATGAGCAAGGAGGCTTGAACAGAAGGCGCACATTCTCCCACGCACGGTCTTGCCGTTAATATGCAGAACAGCTGTCACAGCTGTCTCCCAGTAAGGAGACCTGGGCACACAGGGAAGGGAAAAGCTGGCCAATGTCTGGAAACCTCCCCACCATGGATTCCAGCAGGATGTGGTGCATGGGGGTAAGAGATCTTACATCTCACGCTTAGGCCCAGGATGTGTCCGCCCAAAGAGAAATTCTCTTGGTCATATCCTCTGGTGGTCCCATTCCCTAAGTAGGACCTGATAGGTCAATGCTGTCTTGCTTGCCTAACTACTGAGCTCACAGGTAAGACAGAATAATGCTTGCAAGCCACAATGCCAGGAGTGTAGCCAGGTATGAGCCCAAAGCAAAGAGGAACTCAACCTCGGGTCCCTTCACTGTGGCTGGAACGTTAGGTAAAATGAAGCAGAAAAGCACCACTCAAGACAGGCATGCAGACAGATGTTCTAGAGCAGCCATCTGGGGCAATGAAATTTTGTTCCACCAAAATGGCTTTGTTTGTTTGGTGACAGCAACAGAGCATGCGGGAGCCTCAAGTTTCCATAGTGTCAATTGGGAGGCTGACATTTTAAAACCTCAGCTGATGAACAGACACCTTGAATTTCATGGTTCCATCCTCTCCACTGGTATATCCTTCTAGGAGGAAACGAGGGCTCCCTGCCTGTACTGTGGCTAATAACTGATCCTGAAACGGACTGAACTTCTGGCTACCCAGCCAGCAAACTTAAGAGAACACAACAAAGGACCACACTGTCACTCCTCAGGAAGCAGCTAGAGTGTGACACAGGACCCAAACATATCTGTCATACTTACTCCCCAGCACGCTGCGTCATTTGCTCGGCCACCAGTGAGAGAGAGCCCCTGGGGTAGCTACTGTTCTTAGCTTGTCACTTAGCCCATCACCTTCCCCAGACAGGACCAGACACAGAAGACGGTTAGGGGCCCGGATGCAGCTCCAGGCTCAGGTGCAAATGGCGGTGAGAAAAGGTTAAACAAAACAACGGTCTGCCTTTGGGGGCGGCCAAGGCTGTGAGGATGGGGGTTGCCATGGAAGAAGCAGTGAGTTTTGCCAGACACATGAGATGCCAGGGAAGGGGGAGAAGTGAAAAATCGCTGGTTACCTCTCTCTGAGTCCAGGAAGGCATGAGGGGAGAGCAGAAACAGCAAGTTAGCATTCATATTGCACCCAGGCTACAGCAGCAGCGCTTGGCGCCGGCATCCCACCGGATTTCCCAACTCTGCAGCCATTAATAGCGTCTCTGTGCTTATTATAGCCGAACCCTCTCACCCAGAAGAGTGTATTTCGAGCCACGCTTCGGTGGAGCCAAGAGTTGCCAGCTGAATCTACAGAGGCAACAGAGCAGCCGGGGGAGGTAACCAAGCTTAAAATATCACAGTCAAATACAGGAGACTGCTCGCAGGAAACACTGGCAGGGAACTTATCTTCATTCTCCAGCCCCTGGCTTCTTACAATTTAAAAAGAAAAAAAAAAAACAACAAACCGTACAGAAACAACGGGGCAGATGTAACCTTACCTGCTTCACAGCACCCTCTGACACCCAGGGGTTTTAACGAATGGGGAGGGACACGGAGCAGAAGGTGGAGGACAGAGGTGGGGAAGGAAAGAGATGGGAGAGGAACACGTCAAGGGTTCAGGTACAGAGCAGTATCAAGAAGAGCTGAGGGTACAGAAAAGTGACAGAAGGGTGCGGGTACAGAGAAGTGCCTCTTGGAGGGTGTGGAAAGGAGTTGGGGGCAGATGGGGGTGGGGTGGGCTGGGGATAGCAAGTTTTGAGTTCCATGCTCAGAGCTACCCTGGGTTGCCAGGTGACCCTAGAGATATCACCAAGTCCTCTGCCCCTTTCTGTTCGAACCGTCAGAGCTAGTATGAAAGGGCCCAAAGGCAGTCCTCTAAGTGACACACAGGTGTTCTACAGAGCACCAGACAGCGAAGCTGAAGCCAATGAGGAGAAGAGATGCAGGAGCCACAGGGACCTGCTCTCTCGTGCACACCAGCCCTGCAGCCATTGTCACCAGGCTAGCCGGGCTCTGCGGGGTGATTGATAGTTATTAGGCAATCAAGCACGCCAGACAGTGAACTAGAAAGGCAGAGGGAGCCACTACACCTCAGAATAATACTGGTGTCATATACCATATGGAGACTGGGATCCACGCCTACAAACCCAGGACAAACCCAAGTGGAAGTTACACGGGCTCAAATGAAAAGCCATGAGAAAGGTTTGAGTGCATTAAAAAAATCAGCACCATAAACGGGCTGAAATAACACAGCACCCAAACTCTACCTTTGGAGGAAAGGTGACGGAGGATTTTATTCAACATATTTGTTTGACTATTATACAACAGGCAGGAATTAATTTTGCGATACAACATACATAGCTACCTCCATATTCAGGGAAAATCACTGTGATTAACACGTGCCAAGAGCCGGCTCAGGTGACACCTCTAACACTTATGACCACAGTGACACACCCACAGCTACCCTTCACCGAGCTCTGGTGTTGTGCAGCCCATGTGGTTCGTGCGGGCCCTACCTGCAACCTGACGAAGCCATTATTACAGTGTTCTTGGACAGATGGAAAAACAAGTTCAGAGAGGCTGAGGAACTTGGCTAGGTCATACAGCAAACCCACAGTGAACATAGGTTTGGATTCCAGGTCTCTCCTGGTCTGTCTCTCAGATGATAAACCCACCAGGCTGAATAAGTTTGCTTAAAACAGAGCCAAAGGGATCTGGGTTCTTAGATGATCAGACAGCTCACGTTTCCTGGAAAGGCTGTTCAGGCTAATGAGGTGGACATAGTCAGGGTCTTCCAGGATGGTACTTACCTTCTTTTTGTCAATCTCCCATGCACTGGGCACACTGTGTGAGATAGCATGTTCCTGACCTAGGTCACCCATCAGTAAAGAGGGGCAGAGACCCTGGCTCAGGGCATTCAGGAGCAATGCAATCAGGTGAGATGGCATTTAACCAGGAGGCACTGGTCTGCACCTCGGGAACTGTTAGCACAGTCACGGAAGGGGTTCCTCTTTCAGCTAGGCTGGGCTGGGCAGCATTTGACCCCGAGGGCTTGTCTGGAGGGTCAAGCAGAGGCATGCAGCTATTTGTACACTCTTGCCTGAAGGATGGTCCTTCTCTACTGGAGAAGGTCATCGTCAATGGAGCATGAAGCTTTGGAAGGGGACGTGAGGGACGGTGAGGCAGTAGGAGGACATTTGTCTGCCAGCCAGATCAGCTGAATCAACACTGGGGACCAGTGAGATGACAGATGTCATAGTCATATTACCCTCATATCTTCAGGTGGCATCTGAGGTGGACTATCTCTCCTGGAAAGGCATTTACCTAGGAAGGGGGTGTTTCTTAGACTTACTAGATGTTCCTTGGGATAACATTGTTGCTTCTGGTTAAGGTTTTTCTGCACTCTCCTGGCCCTGCTAGCAAAGCCAATTTTTTTTATTTATTTTTTATTTTATTTATTTATTTATTTATTATGTATACAACATTCTGTCTGTGTGTATGCCTGCAGGCCAGAAGAGGGCTCCAGACTTCATTACAGATGGTTGTGAGCCACCATGTGGTTGCTGGGAATTGAACTCAGGACCTTTGGAAGAGCAGGCAATGCTCTTAACCTCTGAGCCATCTCTTCAGCACCCCCAATCTTTTTTTTTTTTTTAATTTAAAAATCTTTTCTTTTTATTTTAATATGCATTGCTCCTCTGTCTGCATGTATGTCTTTACCAGAGTGCTGGATCCCCTAGAACTGGAGTTACAGACAGTTGTGAGCTACCACGTAGACGCTGGGAATTGAACCTGGGTCCTTTGGAAGAGCACCTAGGGCTCTTAACCACTGAGCCATCTCTCCAGGCCCTCGCTTCTAGAGATTCTGAGTCCAATTCCCAGCAACCACATGATGGCTTACAACCATCTATAATAGGATATGATGCCCTCTTCTGACTTGCAGCTATACATGCGGAGAACTCATACATGAAAAACTATTATGTGTGTGTATACCCTACACACGTATATAATACATACATACATACATACATATGTATGCATGTATCTAGTCAGTATTTAGAGGCAACCTTCTGTAAGTCAATGAGCCCCTGGAGTCTCAGATCCCCCACATCAGATGAAAAAGGCTCCCAGAATGCCCTTGCAGTCAGTTTCCTTCCTTAATAACAAGAAGACATATGTCCTTCAAGAACAAACAAGTGATGTTTCTTTGATTCAATCTTGATTTACAACAAAAGCTTTCACTTACTTCCTCTTCACAAATGTCGATGTTTAGTGTACGGCTACAACTCGGCCCAATGGTAGTAACTCTAAAGACTGAGGCTACGATGTTTCTGCTGTGCACAGCCTTGGCTGTTTAAAATCAGACTCACTGCAAGGGACTCATTGGGACAAACAACGCTGACATGCAGCCACTGTGTTTCCCCCAGAGGAAGGACTGGGAAACCTCTGAATAGAGTTAGTTCTTTGCTTGCTTTATGTGTTGAAGTAAAAACCAGCCATGAAGAGAGGTTTGAGGGGAGCCCTGAAATGTCATTCAAAACCCTCAAAGAATCACAGTCAACAGCAGCTACCACTCAGCACAGCACATCGTAAGTTTGCTGGATGAGAAACAACAACAAAAACCCATTAGCTGGGCTTTTACATGAGATGAGGTATTCTGAGAGTGGAGGAGGCTAAATTCAGTCAGGGCAAGTCTACTGTCTTCTTAGGGTACATGGTGCCAGTGGGAAGAGTCACGTCTCAGGATGAGTTCCACTGAACGCTCACTAGGGCTGCCTGACCAGCACGCTCTTGCTGTGGCTCCTTGGAAAAACAAACGCAGGGAAAACTGGCAGTGTTCTCCTTAGCATAAACCTGAAACAACAAAGCTACCTGGTATGTGCAACTGGTATTCCCAAACATTCCTGGAAAAACGACAGAGACGGCACAGCAGAACGACACGGTATAATATGGTTCTTTGAAATAGGGCATCATCCTTGTGCCCTGGCCAAGTCACTTCCTGCTCGCAAAAAAACACAGCTATCCCCTTCTCACATCCCGAGTTCTCAAGGCAAGGCCTCTGCTATGCCTGCTGTCCACTGCTGTGGAAACCTGTGCACACGTCTTTTGATGCTTTCCTTCCATCGCTGTGGGTCTCTGGGACCCCTGGGCGTGGGGTCACCTTCCTCACACAGCAGTGGACTACAGTGAAGTCTTCCTTCTGCTCTTGCACCTCACAGTCCGTTTCCCGTCTAGCTACACATCTCCACTTCCCGAGTAAGCGACTTTTATTAGCTGTCAGCCCCGGCTGGGGCCCTTGGCTCCTTTGTTCTTCAACTTCGTCTGTAACATGGGCAAACCGGTGGGATGCGCATCTCAACAGCTGGGAGAGCTATGGCTGAGTCGATCCACAGAGTGCTCCTGAGCCGTGATGGGTGGCGGCGTGACTCTGTGTGACTCTGACGTGATTGAATGGGGCTGAAAGGCAGGTCTGTGACCCAAAGCCACGGCCCACACGGAGGGCCTGCACTCATAATTTCATGTTCAATTCTGGAGGGGAGGGAGCTGGAATGGCCCAGCACACCCCTGAGGAACCTCCACCTCACTGGCGAAAGACTTCAGAAGTGAAATGAATAACAAGTTTATGCAAATTCCCCATCTGGTTTCTGGCGAGATTCACAGACTTCAGCCCAGGGACAGGCTTTCTTTCCTCCGACAGAGAATGACAGTAAACACCTGCCTTAAACCAGGGACACTGTTCTTTCCACAGTAGGGTCCCTGTACCTGCTCCTGCTGCCAGCGCCAGCCCACATGGCAGCCATTAGCTGGGGCAGGAGAGAGCTGGTGTGACCAGGACTAACAGTGGGGTAGGGATATTAAAATTCGAGGCACATTCTTCTAAACCAAGTTTTCTCATTACACTGGAGAGAAGGCACGACGGCTAACTGGCAGCTCACTGATGAGGTGGGGGGAAATATATTTAAAAGCAACCAAGAAATCAGGGCTGTTTTTTACCCCTTCCAAAGTCTACCTTGTGGAGAAGAGTTGATGAGTTCCCGCTTCCCTTTGTGCAAATGAAAAACCCGCCTCTCTGACCAAGAGGAAATTTAGC